TTTCCCTTGCTCACGATTTGAGGTTTGGGCTCCTGCGCCCGTTTCGGCGTCCTGCGGTCCGATTACGGGGGAGTTCTTTGAGGTTTTGCCTGCTTTATCTCCTTTCCGCGAGGACGCTAACTGACCTGGGAGTCGGGGCACCTTACCTGCTTTGGAAAAAGGGAAAGCGACGGCTTTTTGGTGGTTCGCGAGTTTCAGGGACATCAGTGAGATGATTTTCGGAACCAGCGGCTTGGGTTTTTGTGGAACAATTGTAGGTTCTTGAGGGAGAGTGGGGAAGAAGGGACGTTGTTTAGAGAGATTTACTCGCGTAGCTGAAGCTGCTTGTTGCATGGGTACGAGTGGACCCCCTAGAATTCCCCTTTTCGCAGGTTGCAATTTCTCCTGTTTAGTGCATTTCCTGCATACGAACCTTTGGTGAGTTTGTATTTTGTTGATGCAAACAGGTTTGTTTTGCTTACTATTCAGTTCGGAGGGCGTTTTGATGAAGCTACGGTCAGCAGTGAGAGTAGGCTCATCATCCTTCTCACTGCAAAAGCTTCTGTTCGAAGAGCTATAGGCTAGGGGGCCAGATGATATTTCCAAAAAGGGCCTGTGTGAGGTTGACCACAGCATCTGTGAGAGCTTATCTTTCTGCCATCCCTTAGGGAGGGTTGGCGGCAACCTTGTATGAATGGTCTATGAAACGCTGAAAAGTTTGAGCTGTGTTTCTCAAACCGAAAGGCATAAGCAAAAACTCAAAGAGACCAAATAGCGTGGTCATAGCGGTTTTTAAGACATCCTGAGGATGCACGAGGATTGGGTTGTACGGTTGGACGAGAGCAATTTTGCTGAAGATCTTACATTCTCCTAAACTTGCGGTCAGGTCCTGGATGTGTGGTATCTTTATCGATTGGGATGTTGTTTATAGCCCTATAGTCACAACATGGAAGCCAGTCTTCCGTAAAACATGCGGTAATAAGGCCTGTCAGAAAGTTGTGATTTCTGGCATCCAGTGCGATAGATGCCAGGAGTGGTATCATCAGCTGTGTTTGAACTTAACAAAGTGAGATTACCAACTGCACACAAAGCACGAAAGCCTGAAGTGGACGTGCACACGCTGTGTAATGTTTACTGAATAGTGCGCTCGCTTACTGTTAGGCTCTTTTCGGCCAAGGACACAAGACGCAAACGATCGGCAAGAGCGATTCTCCCAGAATGCGGCGCAAGGAAACGCCAAGGGTGAGCGGGCACCAGCTACGAGAAGACCAGAGCAGCTACCCCAGGGGAAGAAGAAGCTGACGAAAAGGCCGTCTGAGGCCAGCTGGGATACGTTAAAAAAATAGACGATTTGAAGGCACAAATGGCGAAGATGAAGGCCATCACAGAAGGGGGCTTTGCAATTAGCAGAAGACCTCTGTTGTTTAACTGAACAGAACCGGTGGTGAACGAGGCGAAGGTTAGACGGGAAATGAACCACAGGCATGTAATGAATGTCTTTAGACTGCCAGGGCTTCCACCGGACACAAAATACAGCAAATGCCATAGGATTGAACTGTGGAAGGGTCTCAAGTCACACCATCCACACCCACTGTTGATAGTGTTCCATGGAACTCATAGCAGAGACATGCTTCTGGCAAGAGCAGCTATAGTGGAACTGAGCATTGGGGGCAATTGAGAATCATACCGGATTCTCCCTTTAGTGTCAATACTATTCAATCCAAAGAGGCATATAGAGCAGCAGACCCAAAACTGAAGGAACCGGTTATACGACCCACCAAAAGAGCAATCGGCCCCCTCAGTAGATCTACACCAAAGGCAAAACCTGCTTCCAGTAAAGATGAGTCGGCAGCGGGCAGGGTCAGAACTGGTATGAATAGTTCACTGGCCTTGAGAGTTTCTCCAAACGTGCTCCAGGATAAGTAACAGATCGCAGTTTTGAGAGACAAGAATCGAGTACATCAAGCCTCATCAATACCATGTGAGCATAGTTGCAGTAGTGAACTAGGAACTCCAGTTAGTTGGGCAACCGTTGTTGCTTGCACGCTGCCTGCAAAAACTGGGAACTACAGGGAGCAGATCCCATCTAGTGAGACTAGGAGGCCAATTGGACGGGATAGTCCCTCAATGGAACTGTCCTTTAAAAATGTCTTCATGACTAGAAGCGGTATCTCCTGGCAAGTGTAGGAACCCACAAGAGCAGACAACTGCAAAGCAAAATGCGTAGTACACCCTCGGGTACTCCGCCGGACGGTCCAAGCGGTCCAGGTTCAAAGGAACCTATAGTGCAGGTCGATGTTGCCGATTTATGGTTTACCAATGCTTGCAGCTTAGGAGGGAAATGGGGCGAACTAATGGCAAGAACCCACATAAGCACCATTATCGGTATCCCCGAGACGTGGTTGACGGAGGGCCAGGCGGTCACTGCTCCCCACAATCATATCCGGTATAGGCAGGACAGAATAGATGGCAGTCTCGGTGGTGGGGTACTACTAATGGTAAGCGCAGAATACTGTCAATGGGAAGCTCCGTTTATCTTAGCCACACCGAACATACAAGCCGCGTCCTGTTATGTCCGACTGAGGAGTAGAAGGTGCTAGGCTTTCTACAATTTTCACGAAACGCATAGTTCTTGGGTCAACTACAGGCTGTCCAGAAATAAGGAACAGACAATGAATAAAGAAGCTAAGTACGAGTACGCAAAGAAACTAGCTAGATACATCAAAACAAACCCGAAGAGGTTTTTTGCTTATGTACAGTCCAAGGGAACCACACGTGAAAGTGTTGGAACCTTTGAGATGGCTAACGGTAACATAGCCAGTACAGATAACGACCGGGCTGAGACGCTGATGGACTACTTCAAAAGTGTCTATCGTTCATCTCAGGGTGATGGAGCCCGGAACCCTCTGGTGGATACCATTGGAAGCGNAGAGGTTTCGTGCTTATGTACAGTCCAAGGGAACCACACGTGAAAGTGTTGGAACCTTTGAGATGGCTAACGGTAACATAGCTAGTACAGACAAGGACCGGGCTGAGGCGCTGATGGACTACTTCAAAAGTGTCTATCGTTCATCTCAGGGTGATGGAGCCCGGAACCCTCTGGTGGATACCATTGGAAGCGAACTGCAGATGTTAATCGTGAATGAGGAGGAGGTACGAACCGAGCTCAGAAGCCTGTACAAGTATAAGGTGGCGGACCCGGATGAGATCCACCCAGCTTATGTTCAGCCACAAGCTGAGATCATACTAGGACCTGTCACTGACTTATTCAAGGCCTCACTGACATTCGGGGTAGTGCCAGAGGACTGGCGGAGGGCAACCGTGGTAGCAATGTACAAGACGGGGCCTAGATAGGAGGCGAAAAACTACAGGCTGGTCAGTTTAACATCATTACTGTGCAAGTGCCTCGAACGTATAGTCAGAAAACAAATATGTGCGCATCTGGTGACTCATGAACTTCCACCTACTGCACAGCACGGGTTTTCCAGGAATAAGTCGTGCTTAACTAATCTAATTATGTTTCTTGACGAGACTACAAGTCGATTAGATCAGAGTACGGCAGTTGATATATGTTACTTAGACTTCAGTAAGGCTTTTGACTCTGTGAGTCACGTTGCTGGACAGGAAACTACCAACGTTTGGAATGGTCGGGTCAGCGCGTCAGTGGCTGAAGAATTTTCTCAACAACCATAGCTTCACTATATTGGTTGGCAGCTACACTTTGCGATCAGAGAGGGTTACAAGCGGGGTGCCCCAAGGATCTGTTCTTGGGCCCCTTCTTTTTCTTCTATTCATCAACGATCTCACGCTATAATTGCACAACCCCTGCTTCATCTTTACGGACGATGTGAAGATGGCGGGTGGGAACTTAACNGCCTATCTACGTCCTGTGATTTGAATTTGACCTGACCTGACCTAACCTTATAGTCGGGTAACGCGCCAGTGGCTGAAGCACTTTTTTAAAAACCGTAGCTTCACAGTACGGGTTGGCAGATACACTTCGAGATCAGAGAGGGTGGCCCCAAGGCTCTGTTCTTGGGCCCCTTCTTTTTCTTCTATTCATCAAAATAAGCGGGGTGCCCCAAGGCTCTGTTCTTGGGCCCCTTCTTTTTCTTCTATTCATCAACCGATACACGCTAAAATTGCACAACCTCTGCTTCATATTTGCAGACGATGTGTAGATAGCGGGTGAGAACTTAACCCAGGACCTAGATGCGGTCCGCAGCTGGTCGGCTCGATGGGATTTACCCCTGAATCTTGCCAAGTGTCAGATACTGACAAACAATGTAGACTCAAACGGGGACACTGCGTTATCATGGCACAACGGAGGTAAAGGACCCAGGAATAATTGTTAAAAAGGACTTTCGGCTTACAAGACAATGTCAGGTGGCTGCAAATAAAGCAATAGGTGTACTCTTCAGGTTACGAACCACAATTACATACAGGAAGCCAGAAGTGTTCTTTCCGCTCTAAGGCAATGGTGCGTCCACTGCTGGACTACTGCGTGCAAGCTTGGACCCCATACTATCGGAAAGATATGGAGTGTCTACAGAGGGTACAACGACTGGCAACCAGAATGGTCACTGGACAGATAGGGAAGAGCTACTCGCAGCGTCTGAAGAACCAAAGTCTTTTCTCGCCGTCACGTCTAGGGGCGACTTGATAGAAGCCTTCAAGATAGTCAAGGGGTT